GTTTGATTGACTTTTTACACTTATCCTGATTTGTACAATTTTTCTTTAGTCAGTAAAGATGGTTATTTTCTTTTTGGTACCCCAAAGACCTGCTCAATCTTGGAGAGTATGAGGTTATTTGGAGTTTGGCCAGAATTATCACAAATTGGGTGTTAGGCTGGAGTCAGTGAGATTTTGGATCCGCGCACCCAATTTAGTAACCTCCGCAGCTTTGCCACGCGATTAATAATAAGCAAGATCGGGCACATACCGTTGTATTGTACGTACGTACGTAATTTTAATTTCTCTTTTTTACATGACCTCATGTTTGTATACGTGTTCATTCATTCATTGGTGTCCATGTGATTCGGCGATATCGGATATAAACAGCATGTAAATTGTTTTGCCTGTCCACTCTGTGAAGGTCGAAGATGCCATTATCCACTTCGACAAAGAAAAATTTCATTCGCGTCGGCAACGTATTGTCGCTTCTGCTTCTCTTTGTTGCCAATGCCGTTTCTCTAAATTTGCATCCTTCCCCCATTGACATCTACTACAAACATTTGACATACCTTTCTCCTTCTCTGATTTTTGTCGGAATATTTGTGATTGTGCTCTATGTGTTATTGTTTGGCTTTGTCTTTTATGTGCAATTTAGCAACGCCTTCATCATACAGCGAGTTGTGACAAGCACAGTAGGGTGCTTGCTCATCGTTAGCAATCTCCTCATGTGTGGTTGGTTATTTTCTTTGGTAAGCCGATCAAGGTCGCCTTATTAGAAAGTGTCTACGATTACTAAGGAAGGAATGTTTCGCGCGTGTCACTTTCTCAAATAGACGTCGGAAAAGTTTTACCTGAGCGAAATGTTTATGTTCTTGGCCCTGTTGGTGACCCTAAGGTTTCACCACAACATCGTCGTTCACTTTTCACCCACCTCTCACCCTTCAACGCAAGTCACCAAGATCATCGCTTTTGTCAATACTCCGTTTTCCATGTACACCGCTTTTACTTTGGTAGGTTTTGTGTACACTGGTTTCTTGGCGTTCACCAATGACGACGAATTATTCGCTTTCGTGGCTGTTGTTTGTACCTGGCTTCTGGCGATCTTCGGGATGGCGTGGACCGTAACTGGCATCTGGAGTGGAGGCAGAAGGGATGGTGTCATGGGTGCTGCGATTGCATGGTACGTGTTCTTTGTATGCTAAGGTATGCATTATTCACTTATTTATATTTTGACACATGCGAATACGACATAGGGCTCTGCTCGCGATTGCGGTTCAACAACGAGAAGTCAGACACATATCCATTCAGTGCACAGTGCTCTCAGTTACCATGTCCGTGATCTTACTTGTCATTTGGATTAACTACGGCGGAAGTTTATCACAAGCAGCGAGATCTCAACGCAACATCGTCGTTGAGCAGTATGCACCATTGCTGCATAGTGAGAGTGACGGCTAGATGCATGGGCGTATGCTAAGTCGCACCCGGCAAAAACTATTTCGGTTGTCCGGTGGCGTTCTGCCCGAATGTCTCTTTATTGGTCGAAAAATTGATTGATGCTAAGATTTATCTAATGCTCGGAGAATCTTTTTGCCATACATGTTTGATTACATTTTATATCGTGATGGGAGAAATCTGCGTTTTTATGGTAATCCCGTTCAATTCGATGATTGATTGTACATGCATACATAATACAATTTCATTGCTATGGAATGAAATACGTAGCAACTTCGAATCCCCCAGAATCCCTTAATCGTTGTGTATCCCATAAATATATGCAATCCTCCCAACGTCCCTTAAATCTAATAGATAGCGATTAAATAATTACAAACGTTATTTAGTCTATAATATAATGTATATGTAGATATATATATGTATTATAAATGTATATGAAGTATAAATAGTGAAATAAAAAAAAAGGATAGTGATGCAGGATATATATATATATATGTGATTGTCTATTTTTTAGAATATGTTTATTTACTCAAGATGATGATGATGATGATGATGATACTCCGGGAACGTTAATGCCCTTGGGCACTACTCCGAATTTATAATCCAAATCCTGATTATGACAAAAGGTTAGTTAGTCAGTTAGTCGGTCAGGTAGCAGCCAGGTCATGCGTGAGTGTGACAGATGGATAAAATGAAAATTGCAACATACCAGTAATATTTTTAAAGCATTCCTGCTTCTCAAATACCCGTAATCTCCGGTATCAGTCGTGTTAATCTTTGCAACCGTTTCTTCGGTATTATTCCATGGGAACCATCTTTGCAACAATTCGTAAACCATCAAGGTGGTACCGAACTGAGGCGAAGATCTAAAAATGCGAGCTGGTCCACCCTTAAAGAATGCCTTAAAGCCTTCTTCTTTTAATATCGTTTTAGCCGCATGAGTTATACTCTTATATACGGTTTGACCTTCACGCGCCTCCACTTGTAATCTGGTTTTAATCACATCCGCCGGCGTTGTGAAATAAGCGGCCGGCATTCCGGCTAATGCACCCGCTGACAGTAATTCTCCCATGCCCAGTTTTTTCTCAGGTCCTTCGCCGAAAAAGTCTTTTTTAATGTGTGAATAAGAAGAAAAATATATCGCGGAGAATGGTATGTCACGAAGCAGGCACGCGCTCGCCCCTTTGTAAAGACCGAGGACACCAAGTTTTTTCACGATCGAAATTGCGGAACGACGCTCCGCCATTTCACCTTGTACCTGAAGTCGAATCTTCACGATTTCCAATGGGTTGGTAAATATCTGAAGTCGATTTACAAATGCATTCGAGTGAGAAACAATCATCACAGTAAGAGGATCCTGATTATTCTCAAAGAACGATACGCACCACTTGGCAACCACCCGCCATACCACCCGCCAACATCTCCAATGCTAACGTGATTTCACCGGTCTCTTTATTCTTCAGCAAAGATCGCGCGAGATCATTTACGGTCAATTTAATAGCCTTCTCAGGCGCTACACCCTGTGCACGTCGGATGATCAAGGTGAAGGAGTGAACTCGTCAACGCTGCGAACATCATTGAAAAAAAAAGAAAAAGTAAAAGAAATCTACAGCTGTTCGGAGGTCATGATCTTAACTTACCACCAACTGAGGACCGAGACCGCTGTAGAGTCCGAGTATACCTTCGTTCTTCACAACCTTTCGAAAGCAGTCTATGCTGTTCCGATATAACAACTCGCCTACCACTTTCGATCTTTGATTCTGAATGCGCGTCTTCACCAGATCGATAGGATACACGACGGTTGCACCCACAGATCCAGCGATTGAACCCAAGGTGAACGAATATACTTGATGTAAAACCTCCCATAAAAATCCCTGACGACCTTTCGCCGGTATCTCGACTATCGGCTTCGCTTCAGGTTGCCTTCTCCACTTGGGATCCAAGAGTTGAGAAAAATCGCGTCTCGATAACCTCCCCGAGGAATTTCCCAATCCAGCAAAATGGAATATGATGTCGGCCTCCAATGGGGTGAACAATGAAAACCTCGTCTCCTTTGCCGCCGTGTTGAGAAAGTCGTTCCTGGTGATCTTCTTGTCGGCACTTTCGGAAATAGCTTTTAGCACGATCCTT